TTATGCATTCTAATTTTATAGAAAAAAAATAATGCCAAGTGTTTGAAATATATCCAATTTTGAAAATTTCTTTTTTTTTTTTTTTTTTTTTATAAAAATTAGTTGTTTTTTTAATGCGTTTTTTACTCATGAGAGTTCATTAATGACTGTTAAAAATCAATTCGTAATATTCCATAGATATTTGTTTTCGAATAAAGTATTTAAAAAAAGCTAATTATTAAACTAGATATAATACTTTAAGTCAAAGAACATTTTTTTAAAAACAATTAATATAGGTTTAAGTAAATCAAGTCAAGATATAAGACATCATCTAACAATGAAGTTAAATGTAAGTGTAAATTTTTTCTTCTCTTTCGATTTTATTGCTGTATTTAAATTCATTCATGAATATATTAGTTATAGTAACTATAAAATTGGTCAATCTGATTAAATGTTGTCGGCAATGAAGGATCTGAATCTTTAATTGATTTCTCAGCATAATTTTGTAATGACAATTTCCTTCTTAGAAGCACTACTTTACAGTATGAATAGTGTAGTTCTATCTATCTTCAATTCAAGAGAGAAAATGTTCAATCTTTGATTGCTTTCATTTCTTTTACGTTATGAACGAATAATTTCAAGTTAGGATGTAAATGTCACTGTTAATCTATGTAAATTAAAAGACAATGTTCATATCCTACACTCACAACTATAACGTTGTAAGTTTCTCGCAAACTCTTAAACTATATTAATATAAAAAAAAGAAGCTAAATCTAAAATCTACCTCATTCGAAATCTTTATTTAATGTTTACTTTATCTTCTGTAATGTGTAGAGCGTTTTTAGAACTTTATCAATCCATAATACGTATTATTATTTTTATGAAAGTCTTGTTAGTAAAATATATATTGTCAATAATTGTTTTGAAGTATTTACAACTGATCGGCATATATAACTTTTTCGATTAATTCACACTAGTGTCACTTCGTTCGTACTGATACTACAGATTCATGTCTTGTTACTCAGTATATTCTCAGAGTTTTGATTATAAAGAGCAATAATTTGTTGATAGAATTGCAATATTCATTTTTTCATGATTTTTGTAAGTTTAGATTTTTTTTTCTTAAAGTCAGTTGTAAATACACTAAAGTAAGTTTTAATAATAACGGATAAAAATGTCAGCCAACTATATCAAGAAGTATGTTAAGTATTTGACCAATTATGAGAGACAAAAGCACTATGTATAATCTCATAGAATATTTTCATAACTTCGAGAATTTCTAGCGAGAAAAAATGATATTTTGTTTTTTTTCGATATTAGAAAATTATTTAGAAACAGAATTCATTTGAAAATTATTTACTATTATATAATTATGATAATAGTAGATTCGAATGTCATTCAGAAAATCATAGAAAAACAAACTAAATATTTTCAATTTTGCTGTCATTTCTTTTCGTTACTAAGAAAACAGATCTAGAAACAATTTAGAATTCGAAAAAAATCAAAAACATTTCTTTTGACAGAACTATCAGAAGTTTTCATCATTTTAATGAAATTCTTTTTAGTCGAATGAAACTACTCGATGTATTGAGACGATATTGCATCACAAGTATCAAACATGCCTGATAAATGATAGTTTATGTTTTATCGAAAAAAAGGTTATATAATTAAAAGAGTAGTTCAGACACAAATCCTAATTGATGTATTATAGAGGTCGTTTTTCAACCTCTATTATTAAAAACTAAAGTGCACACTACTTTAAGTATCTTGATATTTCATTTCATCATTTTTTTCCTCGTTTTGAACATTCTATATCACATGAAAATGAGTTGAATATCGCTGAAAGGATCGTAAGATTTCCTTTTCAAATTCTAATACTAAACTAGAACATAGAAATCTCCTTAGAATTTCATGTTAAGCAATTTCCTCTTCGTCGACATCGAAAACATTTCCTTACGAAGTCCTTTTTTTTAAAGACTATGTCATAGAAAAGACTGTCTCATTTGAAGTACTTTCTCTCGTGTATGACAGATAAAAATCTTTTCGATAATGACGATTCTAATACAATGGGTTGAAGCTAATTTTTTGAAACTAGAACTTAAAATATTTTCTCGTTTGTAAAGTACAAAAAAAAACTAAACAACTCAGTTCGAAGCATATAATTATTATAATATTGAAAAAGAAAAATCAAACATAAGCAAAATACTTTGAAAAATTAATTTATCAACCTTAAATAATGTTTTTATTGTACAATCATAACTTTTTTTGCTACAATTGAAAACAAACTGTTGAGAAGAACAGATGTGCTGTAATGATATAATTATTCTACCGATTATACAATCAATTAAGTATTTCAATTTCAATAGTAGGCTACAAGAATTTTTCTGAAATTTATCAATAGCATTAAGATGACATTAGTTTCAATGTCTTCTCAACTTTTTTTATCAAAATCTTTAACTCACTCATAGCTTCGATTTCATTTTATGTTGAAAATAGTATATTATATAATAGACTATATATTTCAACAAATGTACTAATATATAGATGTAGATGTAGGTCTTCACAATCAGACGATAGTAATAAAGACTATTTTTCTATCAAGCACACATTAATAGTGTTCGTTTCTCGAAATTGGTAATTGAACTTCAGTTGAACTAAAATCGAAACTATTGATGATTTAAAGATTTTGATAAATGCTAGTTGATGTTTATCTATAGTGATACTACTTAATTTCTATTAGTTAATCCTAAGATTCCTATATATTGCAACCGTGAGTATCGTAAGAATTGAATATTTCTCTCTCTCTCTAGAGTGCATCAATGACCACTAATATTTTAACCTTATAAGTTTGACGCCAAAAGATCAAATGTACATGCATTCACACCCATATTTTAAGGGGTGAGGGTGGGTGTGGCATCTATCTTTTCAGCATTTGCAAAAGTAGAAGGCCTCAGATTACATAGATTCGCTTGACATCCTCTCAACTTTGCTCAGTTTCGTCTGTATCCAAACCTTCTCATGATCTTACTCAGAGTACATCATGGTTGTTCTTCGAACAGCTTGATATAACACTTGCCAAAAACTTTATAGAATTTCACCAGCATCCTCTATGCAAATATTTAGGAGATTCTTTGGCAGATCTACATTTCCTTAGCAATATAGAGATTAGGTTTTTGACATTTATTGTTCTACGAGCATTCTGCAAAAGAATTCTGAATTCTCACACATTTCCAATAACATTCTCAGATCTCTCTATCTTTCTATCAAAAAAGCCTACATGGAATTAACATTACTCTTTCTTCGATGATCTCCTTATAGCAATTTCCAGATGTATTTGTTTTTTCATAGGAAACTAGGAAAAGACATTTGAATACTTATTTGAGAAAAGAATATTCTCGAAAGTTTTACCAAATTCCCTTCGAAGAAGACGAATATCTCCTTCATAGCTCTTTCTCCCGCGTGAGAGAGAGGGGAATCTCTTCGATAATGATTGATCTCTTTTCTTTTTCTCGTTCATTGTAGTAATTCCCAATATTCCAGCCGGTGTCCGATGGGCACTGATTAGGATCGACATTTGTGTACCAGGCAGAGGTTGGCAACTCCACTATATTCCGCTCCAATACCACACAGCTCTAATCCTACATTCTTAAATCCTTCTCTAACTCCAACTCCTGAATAATTCTTCAGGTCTACTCCAACTTCGATTTTACAAAGTTGAACGTCTTCCAATGTATTCGTTAAGACACAAAAGTTTTTGAACACGATTGAGTCTACGGATGATATCGATGAGTAGCTGGTTAATTTATTCCTTCCTAAGCTTTCGTATAAAATCTACAGATGGGCAACCTGACTATACTCCGCTCTTATTTTTCGAAATTAACCTTCAACTCCACTCTAAGTTCACTCGGGATCTTGATCAACATAATCCACGATTTGCCAAATTCCATTCCAACTCCTTTCTGGATCCATTACAATTCTACTCCAACTGTACCCCTCAATTGCTCGATTCCACTCCGATTCCGCTCCAGTTCCACTCCAGATCTATATTAACTACACTGCAACTCTGATGTGAAAAGTACAAACGCCGAAGTTCGAGTTACACATGTCTCGTATGAAGCATCTCAAAATTCCTTATTCTTCAGATCCTCCTGAGAGTATCCATGACATGTTAGCTCAGTAGAGGATTCTCAGAAGAAGTACCACATAATCATTATAGCAAGTTTCTGATAGAATATCCTCATCATTTTCAGAGTTTCACAGAATATCTTCTTTAGCCGCTAAGATTCTCTTGTATGATCTTCATACGATGGCTTCAAAATCATTTTCACACAAACTTACTAACAGCTTTGTAGACCATTTTCTGGCTATCCCATTTAGATCCACCTTGTCTCAATTACGCATGTAATTCTCAGATCTCTATGTTTTCTTATGGAGAACTTCGATAGGATTACCATTAGCCTTTTCAGCATTTCAAAAGTGAAAGGCGTCACACTTCAAAGATCCGTGTGGAATCCTCTCATGTTTCCTGCATTTCGTCTGTTTCCAAGCATTCTGATGATCTTGCTAAGATCCTATCAGAGTCATCCTTCGAACACCTTCGACATAACTTGCCAAAAACTTTTCAAAAATTTCACCAGCATCCTCTATGCAAATATTTAGGAGATTCTTTGGCAGATCTACATTTCCTTAGAAATATAGGAATTAGATTTTTGACATTTATTGTTCTACGATCATTTTGCAAAAAAATTCTGAATTCGCACACATTTCCAATAACATTCTCAGATCTCTCTATCTTTCTATCAAAAAAGCTTACATGGAATTAACATTACTCTCTCTTCGAGGACCTCCTCATAGCAATCACCAAATGTAGTTTTTTTCATAGGAAACTAGAAAAAGACATTTGAATACTTATCTGAGGAAAGAATATTCTCGAAAATTTTTATCGAATTCCCTTCGAAGAAGACGAATATCTCCTTCATAGCTCTTTCCCCCGCATGAGAGAGAAGAGAATCTCTTGGATAATGATGATCTCTTTTGTTTTTTTGTTCATTGTAGTAATTCCCAATATTCCAGCCACTGCTCGATGGGCACAGAATGGTGTGACTGTTGCTGGAGGCCATGGAAAAGGCAGTGCCACCAATCAACTCAACGGGCATGATGGTCTCTTCGTTGATGATGATCAAACGATTGTCATTGCTGATGGCAATCATCGTATCATCCAATGGAAGATGGGTGATACGAATGGACAAGTCGTAGCTGGTGGCAATGGCCAAGGATATGAATTGGATCAATTGTGGGGTCCAACCGATGTTTTGATCGACAAAGAGACAGATAGTCTCATTATTTGCGATACTGGACGAGTTGTACGATGGTCTCGTCGTAGTGGCACAACTCAAGGAGAAATCCTCATCGGCAACATCAATCCTTACGGAGTGGCCATGGATGATCAGAGATATCTCTACATCTCTGACTGCGTCAAACATGAAGTAAGACGATATCAAATAGGAGACAAGAATGGAACTATTGTGGCTGGTGGCAATGGCTGTGGTGCTGGTCTCAATCAACTCGACTTTCCGACCTACATCTTTGTCGACCAACAACAGACTATCTACGTGTCAGACTACAGCAATTATCGTGTAATGAAATGGAATAAAGGTGCAAAAGAAGGAATTGTCGTCGCTGGAGGTCAACGCAAAAGCAATGCTCTGACACGATTGTTATTACCTAGGGGACTGTTCGTCGATGCATTGGGTACCATCTATGTGGCAGACTCGTACAATCATCGAGTGATGCGTTGGCTTCAAGGAACAAAACGGGGCACTGTCATCGTGGGTAGAAAGGGTGTAGGAAAAGGAGCAAATCAGCTCAACATTCCCATTGGTTTGTCCTTCGATCGACATGGCAATCTCTATGTCGTCGATTGGGGAAATAATCGTGTTCAACGTTTTTCAATCGAATAGACTCATTACCATGAATTTTTTTCTGTTCCTTTCCTTTCAAATAAATCCCATTGAATTGATGAAATGAATGGTTTATTCTATTCGCGCGCGCGTGACCGGGAACCATCCTGGTGGCGCCGTGGCGAGCGTAACGCTCAACACGCACAGGACAGACTCATATCATTCATACCCTCCCCGCGAGAGATATGTCAATGAGTCTGAATAAGCCTGGTCGTGTGCCACGGACACCAAGATGATTCCTGGCCGGGTTTTTAGGGCCTACCCGGAAGGCCTGTAACTAACAGGGACCTAATCTCACTGGGCATAACTCATCCCTTCCCCCCACTAACACTCACTTTTCTGAGTCTCACCCTATTCTCATCTCAAGAAAAAGATAATAATAATTACTTACTCTGTTTTGATATTGGACGACGATGTTGTTGTTAATGACGCGAAGCGATGATAGATTAAAAAGATAAGAAAAAAAAAATTTAATTAATAATATATAATGAAAAAGAATCAGTTAACTTACCCCACTGTTATGTTCTTCTTCACTGTTCAATGTCTGAAATTAAAAAAAAACAATATATAAAAAAGATCATAGGAGGACTTACCACCCTCCATATGATCCAAAAGAAAAAAAAAGAAAAAAAAATTAAAACTAATACCTACATTTTATTTTATTGTATTGCTTGGTGATGAATTGAATAATTTTGTATTGTTGAAACCAATCTAAAATATAAAAAGAAAAGATTAGTATGTGATTCAATAAATTGAATGATTTTCTATGTAAAATCATTCATATTTATACCCCGATGATGGTTATTGGGAGAAAAATGATTTTTGTCTTTTGTCACAAGAGAATAATTAAAAGATGAATCTCATTAAGCTATAATCAGGGTGCACATATACATTGAGATATATTCAATCACAAATATCTCAATGTATGAGTGTGAATATAGCTTAATTGATATACATATTAATTATGCCATGTTATCATTGATCATCTATGATAACATGAACAATAACTTATGGACGAGAGAATGAAAAAAAGAAAATTTCTCTCTTTAACCTATTTCTTTTTTTCTTTTTCTCTCTCACATGTTCAATAGACAGACGTACAGAGTAGACGAACACACACTCACATGTAAGGCATGTTGTTTTTATTTTAAATATATTTTTTTTTATTTCAAGGAATTTTTTTGTCTTACATTAGAATTTAGAATTAAATTTTTGAAGGGTATTTCTGTATCAAGAAGAAATCGACCTTCATACTATCAATATTTATATTCAACCGTCATATGTTTTGTTGAACAGTTTTTTTCTTTTTATATAGACAGAATTCAGTGACTTTTATTCATTATCTTGGTGAATCTAGTCGATAAGATTAACATGATCAAGTAATACATGTTGCTTCACATGCAAGTATCGGTGAAAAATATCTTGTGAAATATTTTCTATTTTCTTATTAACATAAACATATATAACAATTTATTTTTAAATTCTTTAGATATTATTTTATATGGAAAAAAAATTTAAATATATCGTGCTAAACCATTATATAATTTTATTTTATTTTTATTTGTTTACGTTTATTAATGATAATCAATTACAACATTTACATATGTTTATTTGTTTATTATTTTTCTTATATATAATACAAAATATTACGTTACATGAACTGCTGTACGCTTCCGAAGCCGATTTACGATCGTTTTTATGAATTTTTAACCGATTGAGTATTAGTTGGAAAATTAAATAGAACATATTTCAGCTGAAACAATTGCTTTCTTTCTTGACATACTTAACATTTAAAAGTTGATTCGATTTCATAAACTGTGGAAGACATTGGAAACTTCTAAATATTTAAACTTTTACAATATTCTTAGGATGAACAGATCGAAGTATTGACAAAATTTTCGATCAAAAATTTTCCGATCAATGACCTGTCACACATAAAGAACAAATCTTTCTTAGGTAGATTTATGACAATAGAAATAAATGAAACTTCAACAAGTGAAAGAATGAAGAGATTAAGATATATATGTATGATATTGTTCTTAGTGATTTTGTGAATGTTTATGCTTCATTAGTAATGCTGATAAATTCATATCTACAATTAATTGAATTAGTAATCAAACAACAATACCATTAGATTCTTCATTATTATTGTTTTCACCATCAACACATGATAATAGTCCATTACTTGATCCATTATTAAATCCAACTATTAAACGAAAATATGAAAATAAACATTCATATATAAATGAGAAGAATAATACTACATCAATTTCAAAACGTTTTCATAATAGTGCACATGACAATGAGAATGTTATAGATGACAATATTGTTATAGACAACTATATATTAACATAGATAATAAGTATTTTATTAGAAAGAAATTAAGAGAAACCAAATGAGAACTTAATATTAATTACAATGTTATTAAATATTATTTGAATAAGATAATTATTCAATGAAATATATTTTACTAGTTAAAAAAATTATAGGGTCTGTTGAGTTACTTGTGAAAATATTCTGTTGTTAATAGACTCGAACAATGTTATTATGGCAAAAATTAGATTTGCAAAAAAAAAAATACTACAAAATGATCCAGTCTTAAAGGTTCGATATTTTTCAAAGATTTTACTCGTCATATACTTAAGAAAAAAAATCTATGTATACTTTACGACGAACATTGTTTGATTGTTCAATACGATAGCAAAGTCTGAATACGAACTCGTCTGTCAATAATCAAACAATAGTTTTCAAAAAGAATGCATCATTTTTTTTCCTATTTATCAGTCGAATAAAACCATTAAAAAAAATAATCGAGCTTAACGAGATTTGATATCTTTGACCTATTTCAGTTTTCATAGACTATTATGGAATTCTTCTCGTATTAAACTGTCGAAAACTTATTGGATTTTAATTACAATAATGATGGACTAGTTTAATTTTCTTCGATCACATTAACACATCTATACATAGTGTTACTTTCATTTTTGAATGAACTATTTTTTAGTAATCGATTCCAATATTATTTTTCATATACATTTTATGTTTTTTTTCTAATAGATTTTACAAAAATTTTATGCTAAAACAATGGAAGCGATTCATACATTAAATTAAAAAAAATGACTGCTCATTTTTATGCGCATTTTAAAGTAATTTTATTCCTTTGAATAGATAATATAAAAAATAGAAAAAATTATTTCAAATAGATTCGTGACCATAAAACTGGATTAGCTAAATAACATTTAGTTGCATTTCATGATACGACTTATTCAACGTTTACTTAAATATATATCAACCGCATATATTGATAATTGTCGAGTAAGAAAACGATTATACGAACACATTTAATTCGTCATTCTTTTCTTCGATTGTCTTGAACATATGTGGAAAACATTCGATACGAAAACATATTATACTTATTCAATAAAAGGATATTCAAAGTTTATTTGATATTAATCCATTATCATTAACAATTGTTGATACTATTATTGATTGTTTTTGTTTTTTTTTGTGGAACTCACATCTTTTTTTGAAGAAAAATAGAGTAAATGTAAGTTTTAAAGATATGTGAGACGAAAATTTGGAAGTTTGTCAGATTCGTATTCATAATATTCTCATGGCATCTTGTTGGTGATCATTTATGAATATGGTCATTATAGACTTTCACTTTAATAGTAGCATACTATGAGAAAAACTGGTGGTTTCAACTGCGACTGAAAGTTATAGTTAAATATTCTACGACTTTAAGCGTATAAATAAAATTCTAGAATTGTTTTCTCGATACCAGTACCTACATCCTTTTTAGGAATCGCGAAGGAAACTCATTCAAAAGAAGTTAAGAGACTCAAAAATGAAAACATATGATTGACTAAAATTCGATTTCTTATGATTCCTCATAGTCTAGTAGAAATTTTTCATTTCAAGTATGTTGTATGAGTATAATGCGACTAATGAATACATGTAAGTTTTACATTATAATCTTAAATGAGTTGCATTGACACAATCTCTATTTTTTATTTAAATAAAAATTTTTCTAATTAAAGAAACTGAACAATTTGGAATACTTTGCTCAATTCATGGTCATACATGTATCTTCATCGTTATCATTGATTTCAACATCATGAACGAGTAAGTGGAACTTTTTTTGTTTAATTTAGAATCGAATAAACATTTAACAAAGAAAAAAAAAATTAATTGTTCAATTCATTTTTTATTAGAACAGGAATGGTCGAATAGTTTTTCGATTCAAGTAAACAAATGAGTGTATAATCAAAAGACAAGTAAGTATTTCAAATGAGAATTTTTCATAATTAAACTAAAAATATTCAGAAAATTTTGACTCATTTAACAACTGAAACGAATCGAAAATTTGTGTGCTCATAAAGTTCTGATCTACTAGTGAAACTGGTCGTGATGTCTCATTTACTATCAAGTCAAAACTTTCAAACACATTATTTATTCTTTCTTGTTGTTTATCTATTGATATTGATTATATTTTCAATAATTAATATTTTAAGTTTGTTTTATAAAAACTAATGAAATAGTTCAGTGATTGAATATTCTAATTGGTGTTTTTTTTCGTTGTTTTGACTGTAGTGATATATTAAATCATGACAAAAAATAAATTAAATAAGAATTATTGTTAGGTTTAATTACTGAATTACTTTTAAAGTAATTCAAAAACTAACTGTATTGAAGCTCAAATAGAAATTTCATAGATGAACAATTCAATAATCATCTCTAAAGTTATCAAGATAACATAGGATACAAAAGTCTTGATACTAATTATTTTTTTACGTATTGTTGAGTTAAACTTACATTAATTGATGTTTATACAGAACAAAATCAATATTTTCGTCCAGTGGCGTAGCCAGGTTTAGGCAATTGTCCAATACTCAAAAAAATTTTGATATATGCATGTTTGAAGACTTAAGTGATGTTATTTTAATAAATCGCCTTCTACAGTGATTTAATTAAGTAATCGAGAAAGATCCATTAACGATCTTTTTCAATGAAACAACGGTCATAATTCACCGTAATGGTAATTTAACATTATTTTCTTCGTCAAAACACTCATCAAGCCACTTGAAGTTCCTTAAGAAAAAAACATTTAAGCTAAACACTTTAATAACAGCAGTAATGGCTAGACTTTTGCAACTTAATAAATAGAAAAACTAATTCAATATCTAAATGAAAGTGTTCTGAAAATACAAGTCACACATTAGGAATCAGGCTTGAGACCGATAAAATTTTTTTCAATCGGACCAGACTGGTCGGTTGAAATTCTTGATTTAATCGACGAAAAATCGGTCCGTTTCATTTATATGAATCAACCAACTAGTTCTTTCTAGAAAAGTTTATTGATACAATTCTACAAACACATATAATGCGAAACTCATACTATTCGTGGAATTTCTAATAGTAACATATCCTATCTTAGTTTGTCATGTTCAACATACGATAATAGTAAGAATGAAGAAAGAACTCTATCACAACCTCGTAATCTACTAACTCACAACAGCAGATATTGAAAAATATCTATGCTTTGTACTGTCTGACGTCCTTCAATAAAAATATGATTCTTTACAAGAATTGATGAGTTTGATGTTTTCTTTTGAAATCATTCTTTGACATAAAGTACAATTTTAATACTATTGTTTGTTTCAAAATATGATGCCCTCCACTATGTTTTGAATAATTCATGAACGAAAAGGATTAGAGAGCTGGGGTTTTCACCAATTGAAAGATGAAGCCGGAGCAGGTTCTTTTTTTTCGATATTGTGCAAGATGAGATTATTCTAAAATCAGTCATTTCCGCAAAAGAAATATATAAGTAGTACAAGGAAAATGATCTGTCATTCCTATGAAATTTTAGTTTTGACATATGTGATTTAGATAGAGAAAGTTCAGATCTATAGTCCAAGATATAATTCAAATGATTGTCTTTCCATATCCTAATGTTGAGCAAATAAAATCGTCTATTTACTCGCAAGAAAACTGTAGATTTCTTTCAATTCTTTAGCAAATTTTTGTACATTTTTTCGATGAGTTCTAAAAAACGGTTGATTTTAAAATGACTTCGTCTTGTACAATGTTAGAGAAAAAAACCAAACATTCCCACATCTCCTCTATCGACTGATAAAAATCACATCTCTTTAGATTACTCGATACTTGAGTTATTGAAAAAAAACAGTGAAGCACATTGTATTTTGAAACGAACATTAGACTCTATAGTTTGAATTTTCTTACTACCTATCTAGTAATGAGCATAACTTTCATAACAGAATGGAATCTTTTCTGGCATTTCTATTATAAAAAGCATGAATTAAGTAGTAACAGTCATTGAAAGTTTCAGACAGTCGGTTAAACGTAGACCAGAAAAGTGAGTTCAGATTTTCGAGATGAAAAATCTTTAGTTTAGATCGAATTCAACTTTTCATGGCAGACTAATTTTTCGTGAACATGAGCATAATAAATTCATTCAACATGATCGAAGGTTCTCATTGTACGATAGGATAACGCTTGCTCAATATTTAGAGCTAGAATTTCGATGATGACTAGAAATTTGCCTGTTAGAGACTTTTGAGACTAATATTTCAAAATTATTAAAGCAGTAAAAATCGATAAAAATTCGGCAAAAAATCGATGAAAATCGGCTTGTTTGAAAAGTCCAACTAGACTGGATCCATAATCGACAAATTCGTCGATCCTGTTCCAATTGTGCACGACATGTACTAGTTCACTTGTGAGATTATTTTTTATGAAGAGCAGTGAGATGAATTTCGTCTCAAATTGGGTTTCTGGTATTATTTGGGCTCGGTCGAAAAACCACCGGAATTTTGGATCTGGCAAAAATTTCATGCTTCTATGTTCGACTCGGACTTGAAAGTGGCAATTCGTCTTTTCATAACCATCGTCTTTCTTGGTGGCAATAGACTTTAAAAAAAATTGACGTCCAAAAGATTTTTAATTGCCCAATATTGCCCATTTCTCAAAAATATTTACCAGGAAATGGTTCATGACTCAAAAATTCCTAGCAATGCCACTGTTTCCGTCATTGATAATTTGTCCAAATTAATGATGTAATAAGTTTTCAATCTTTCTTCTCCTATGTAAATATGTAATTAGATAAGAAATTTTGTAGAACTAATTTTATACTATAAAGTTATGTCTTGAGTTGAATAAAACTTTAGCTAAAAGAAAAGAAAAAAAATGAGGAAATAAAATCTATGTACCGATTCCAATTTAGAGTTGTTTCAAACATCTACGCACACTACAGAAAATTTGAATTAGAAATAGCTCAATAATACATATTTTCAAAGAAAAACAAAAAACATGAAATTCTAATTCTAATACAC